CAGTTTTGTCACCAGCAAAATGTAAAACTCAGAATTCCCTTTTTTGTGCAAGTCTTTGAAAGCCATAGCTAAAAAGCTGTAGATGTTTCTTACAATAAAATGGGGGATTAAAAAAATTATTAAAAATAGTTTCTGTAACAAAAGGACCCCGGCTGCAGAAAAGGGAAAGTGATTACGGGGTATGAGAGGGAGGCAGCGACTGAGATCTGGATCAGAGGGTGGATGGAAGAAAGAAGAAAGCAAAAAGAAAGTTTTCCTACCTACACCTTCAGCATTCTCTCCCCTTCACGCCTCTCAAAATATGAGTGATCACAGCAACGGGGACAGAGGGAGAGATAAATTGCCAAAGCTAAGAAGATACTGCATCAGTACAAACTACAGCATCATTTGAACACTGCCGTCCTGCAAAGCGTCTGCGTTCTGGCACCAATGGGTGAACATGACCAGCACCAAAATAACACACAACCGACCTCGTTTCCCATAGCGTGCTGGCTGTGGATTGTATAGTGACAGCAAGGGATTTTACTCAGTGCCTCTCTGCACATTTGTGTAACACACATTGCTTATGCTAGTTTAACCTTAAGAGTAATGCGATGCAGCCAGAGCCCTTTCCCCAGCCTCAGGAATTCGAAACAATTTATTGCCTTTGCACCACACCGTTGCGCAGAGCGGCATCCTGCCTCCCTCCTAAAAGCATTATCCCTACCTTGATGAAGTGCTGCCTGCTGGTTAGTGTCAGTCCGTGTGCGGTAGCTTACTTTTCGTCACAGAAAGTACGAAAAAAGGCGCTCTCTCTTTTATTCACCAATTTTGCTCAGAGCACTGCAGGAGGGGACGGTCCTTGGTTTTCACTGGTTTCCCTCACTCTTGCCCTCGAGGTTGGTTCTGAAGCCTTTTTGGGTCCACCAAAACAGCACAGCAAAGCAGTGCGACGGCGTTGTGTATCCCAGTGCCAGCCTCAAGGCACGCAGCAGCATTATGCTAGCTCAGCACATTTCTAGACTATTCCATTTTCTATGGATTGATGCATCGGCATGAAAACAAACTTTTGTGTCCATCCATGCTGTAAACATGAACAGTTAATACCCATCTCCTTTTGCCTCAACTGATTTGGAGATAGACAGCAAAGAATTAAATATGGTTTTCTTGTGTATAATGCATCATATTTGTTTTTTTTTTTCCACTTCAAAAAAGATCAATGGAGCAAAAGAAGTCAAGAGAGATGTCCAAGATCTTTTGACTCCATAAAGAGTGATCAGTTGAATCTTTTGGGTTGGACTGCAGCCTAATGAAACTCTTAAAATAAGCTAATATCCATCTCATATAAGTACCTTTTTACATTAAAAGAATCTCATTCAAATTCAAGTGTAAAAAAGCAAAAAGAGCAAGTAGATTTGCTTGCATACTTTATTTGCTGCAAGAATATTAAATTGCTGCAATAATATTAAATGTCATTGACAGACCCTTTAGCACTTATCAAAAAACACTTCAGAGACAAGATGATATTCTCTATCAACATTTCCTATAAGTGTTTTCCTTTTCATCATTTTAAAATAGTTTGCAGGAAGCATTTGTCACATTTTGAGGAGTTGAACTCTAAACTAAAAAAGATATGTTTGTGTTGGGGTTGAGGAGGGGGGAGGGGGGCGAGAAGGTCAGTAGACTGGAAACCCAAAGAAGAAGATTCATTACCTTGCTTATAAGTTTCTGGGGTATGACATATGGACATGCACAAAGTTCAGGGCAATTTTAGTGTTCATTCCAGTTATGTCAAACACTTTCAGTCATAAAATGCATAGGCACTGGAATCCACAAAGTCAAGCTGACAGAAAAAAGATCTTGTACAGTTGCTGATCTTTGCTCAACAGAGGCTCAGAATGGAAAAAAGGTGAAGAATAAACTACCTTTTGTGGAATAAAGTGGGCACAGTGCAAACACACTGCAGATGGGCCATAAGGGACGCTTTCTCCTAAGCTCCATCCATCTTCACCTTATAGAAGTACTAAGAGCCTTATCAATAATTTAACAAACTAATGGACTTGTTCTTAAACATTGTGGGCTGATGCTTAAAGAAGCACCACGTTGGCAGAACAAGATGGTGAAAGTAGAAAGCTTGTGGCTTTTTATTCTGTGGTTATTTTGAAAGTCGGAACAGCATGGTGTGCTATGGACACAGTATTTTTGTCAGCAGCAGTTTCTTCTGCTAGAGCTCGAGCCTGGGACCGCAAAGCAGCAATGTACTGAAGGGCAAACTTCATCTTCAGATGGTAGCAGCTGTTTGCTTTGGAAAGCTCTTCACAGTCAGCAGGACAAAGCCACGGGGATCAGTGATAACAACCTTCCTGAGACAGACCTGGGCATTTTGCAGCCATTTTAGGCATGAAGGTCCTGAGTTTTGAGACTCAGCACTTCCCACCAGTTTAGTTGCTGGGGAGCCTGGTTGCCACCCAGCTGAGACACATGTTTCCAGGGCTGTAGCTCAGGGACCAGGGTGGCAGGACAGCCCACCTGGTTTCCCAGCCATAGCCTGCCCCTGGCAAGGAGAGCATACACCTTGACATCTCCAATGTACCTAACATACACTTCAGGCTTTGAAGGACTGCAGCCGAAACATTGTGCCCCATGTCTGGGTTGTGCAAGGCACCACTCAAACTACATCCAGCTTCCCGCAAGGCACAGGGAAAAGAAAAAAAGCTCACTGACCTGAGCATGCACCCAGGGTGCTGGAGACCCAGAGCTCCTGCTGCAGCTCTCAAAGGAGGAAGATGAAGATGCACACGCTCCCTCCTCTCCTGCAGCCCCTTCTCTGCTGCCTGCACATCACTTTATAAGCTCACACCCAGCCCCCAGCTGTGCTGTCAGTTCCCGTTCCTAATCATCCAAAAAGAGACTCACCTGGATGTAGATAGCTATCTGCAAAGCAAGCAATTTACCCGTGAATCAGGTGTCCTCACTGCTGATGACTAATCTCTTCAGAGTCAGGTGCTTCAGACCCCAAAATATGCATCGCTTATACCCCTACCCCTGCCTGCAGACCTGCATCCTAGCTGGGTAATGCAGGTAACACAAGTGGCTGAGCAGACTGGCGATTGCTCATGCCAGTCTTCAGGCACCAAGCCCTCCCGAGGCTTTTACAAACCAGCTACCTAACCGGAATCAGGCACAAAAAGGCTAGGAGATAGAGTGCCGAGCCTACGTCCCTCTTCTGAACCCAGTCCAACCTGAAGGTGAACGGACCCCTGCCCATGGTCTCACAGGGTGCACGTGAACCGGCTGTGTAAAACGAGAACGTAAAACACTGTCAGCACGTTGGGAAGCCAATCTTCCACGCGCTAACGCTTGCGGCTCAGCGTGGTTTCCTCTTGTCATCAAGGCCACGCTTTGCTCTCAGGCTGAGGTGTTCAGTGTGGCATGAAGGGGCACCTCCATAAAGGTCATCCATACATCCTTCCTATATGGAGGTATTTTAAACTTCACGTGAAGGAGGACTTCATGTGTAAGGACACTGAAGATACCGCCTTTGAGTGGATTCTTCATCTCTCCTGTGAAATTCATAGCTGCGGTAGATGCGCAAGGCTTTGGGAAAAGGGAAACTCCTATGGACCACGGATGTATTTTTCTTACCAAGAGCAATCACTGAGTTCACAAAGCCGACGCTTTAGTTTCCTTTTCCAGAAATTTCCCGCATTATGGCAGGACAGCAAACTGCTAAACTTCCCACCACCATATTCTGGAGTTCTCTGTCACCAACATTATACCTCTAATTTTTTACTTCGCATCAAGGCCTCCTTGAAGCATGGTATCATTACTAAGAAGTGCACTGCCTGGCATGCTGTTCTGTTTAATTGCTGTGGTCACGTTAGTTAATTTGTACTTTTTGCGAACTGCCGCATATTATTCATTGTCAGCTTCAGAGATGGTGCTGAAAAAGAAGAAAAATATACACTGTTCAGTTACCACTGGTATGTTATTTCTTGATAACAGCGTAATTAAATTCCACGGTCATTGCGCATCCTATCTTAGGCCGATGTACTGAGTAAAACAGTCAAGTACCAACACTCAGTTTGATAAAATCTTCAGAAAAACAAATAATGACAATCTACAGATAAACCAGGCCTTTGCAGCCGCAAAACTGGGTTTAATCACCTCATGTAAAGAAAATACTGGGAAATATATTCTTCACGTTATTCTTACAAATTCTCTTTATCCCTCTGAAAGAAATTATAAGATCTACAAAGCAGTGGCCATGTAAAGGAGAACCATAGCAAGGCTGATAAAAAGGCAGAAGTTATATTGGCTTTAAGGAGAAAACGATGATAGTGATATTTAGCCGAGATATCATCACTCACAAAGGCTTGAAATTTTTACATTTCAGACCTTATTCACCTACTCACAGCCATGCCATTTTAAACAAACTAGCCAACCTGCATTCGGCGGAGACAGCGTATTAGCCAGATTTTCAAGTTAATTCCATAAATAGCAGCCCTGAAATTAAGCTTTGCCTACACATCCAAGGAGCGGAGAGCTGGCTCCCTCGGAGGTGCCAGGGTGCTGGGGACTCCTAACCGAGGGGTCATGTACGCCAGTGCCTCCCAGAGGCCTGCCCGGGGATGAGGAACCATGAAGTAAACAGGAGGCATGCAGGAAACAATTTTTATGTTGTTTGCAAAAAGAAGTCAAAACAGAATAATAATAAAAACAAAAATATCTCTGAAAGCATCTCCTGAATGCCAGTCCCTGGAGAGCCCGTGAGTCATACATCCCTTCAGATAAGAAGGGGGATTTTAAAGAAATGGCGCATACGTGACAAGTTTGGAGATTTGTCCCTCACAGAGGGGCTAGGAAGTGCAACTAGTTTAACGGTTTCATCATCTTCTTTTGGGTTTGGGTGGGGGAGAGAGGGTTCGGCAAAGCTCCTGGGAGCCCCCGTGCCTCCTCTTCCAGCCAGACGCTGCCACCTCCTGACGTCCTGCGACTGAAAGGTTTCTCTTGCCTCCCAGATCAGCATCTTCATGACCCATTTGTCTAACTACGGGAACGACCGCCTGGGCTTATACACCTTTGCGAACCTAGCCAACTTTGTTAAGAGCTCGACTAACCTGAAACTGCAGACGCTGCCCCCAGTTCAGCTGGCTCAGAAGTACTTTGAGCTCTTCCCAGAGCAGACGGACCCTCTTTGGCAGGTAACGTCACGTCCTTTTCCTCCTCCAGTTACAATCCGCTTGTTGAAATAAGAATCTTTTCCTGTTAAAAAAAAAAAAAAATCCCACTTCACATTCAGATATGTTATTTCTTCCTGCATGCCTTCTTAGATTATTTAAATTTTCTTGGGAGGCCACTGCTTTTGACTGGAAATGGATTAGCTTCCACTCACCTCAAATCAGGCATGGTAAAAACACCTAACTGCCATTTATGTGAGAGCAAGCTTCCCTTCCCGTCCCTCCTGTCTGTAGTTTTGCTGATGCATCGTGTTGTGTTAACTAATCGTGTTGCACTATCGGTAAGATGCCCTCAGCCAGCCGGTAGCGAGAGCTATCTCGAGGCAAATGATGCAGATTCATTGCACTCCTTAATAGGGAATCACTAACGTTGGATCACTGCAGCTACAAGGAGAATTTCCCACCATCTGGATCCCCTAAAGGGATGAAACAGCGAGGAAGAGGGAGGGCAGGAGGGGTCAGGGCAGCAAACACAGAATGGGCAGCTATTCTTAAGAATGGAAAAGGGTTTCTGCACAGACTGACTATTTTCTATCTCTGTTTCAAATGCACAATAGTGCTGCTTGTAATCTCAACGCTCTAATCTCCTAATCATTGTTACGCATATCTGGCTCTTCTCTTACTCAGAATATGATGTGCCACACTGTGCAGGCATAAATCCAGAGTGACACCGTGCAGTTATTTTGGGCTTACACTGGCAAAAAGGAGCAGAAAATTTCCCTATTATTTTTGGCCCAGATGCAAAGGAAGTATAAATGTATAAGATTTCCATTCAGTTTAGTGGAGCTGCAGTGATTCACATCAGTTAATTATTTTCTCCGTTATATTTTGTTAACTTTATTCGCAAACTGTATCTTCTATTACCGGTCAATACTATGCGAAAGCAGTATCTATATGATAACGGCTTTAAAGAGCAGTCAATCCTAACCTTTTCTGTGGGGTCTTTTGTTCACACGTTTTTATTTTGCATTCATAGGTAGTAGAAAGATAAGGAGATGAATACCCCACATTTCTATTTTGTCCTTCCTTTTGGGTTCTTATTTTGATTAAAATTGGCACTAAGTCCTATGCATCTGAAACCATTTTGTCACCTAAGAAAGTAATGCCTTGAAGCTATTCAAACAGAGGTTTCCATTTTAACCTCAAATGAAAACTTGATTAAATCAATGTTTTAATCTTTTTTTTCTTCTTTTTCTTCTCTTTTTTTTTCTAATGACTGAATTTAATCCTCAGTCATGCAAAACCATTATATACACATTGCATTTTAGTCAAAGGGACCACATACGTGCCTACCTACGTGCCTATGGACTCAGTTTATGAAATGAGCCTGACTAACGGAGAGAAGGAAATGCAGTAGTCTCACAGGGTGTGGATTTTGACACCAATCCTTCCAGGATTTGCACAACTGTGTAGCGTTACTGACTTCACTGGGACCCCTGAAAGGATTGGTCTGGAAGGATACCTAGGAGTTTGGTCCCCGTGTACCTGGATGCTTCCATGGATCCGTACCAGAATGCTCAATATCTGTCAAGAGTAAACTCTTATGAGGAAATGTGGGATTTTACTACTTAGTGTAAGGCTCTGGCATTAGTGCATAACATTGAGAACCTGCAAAGACTCGCGTGCATGCAAACATTTAGGATACCCCCAGCGTGATGTACACAGCCGCCTTTTCTTCTTCAGAATCCGTGTGATGATAAACGACACAGGGATATTTGGTCCAGAGACAAAACTTGTGACCACCTACCCAAATTTCTCGTGATAGGACCCCAGAAAACAGGTAAGAAGTAATGAATTTGTAACCGAAGCTAGCCCCCCGGTTTTGTATCTGGGTATTTGTGTCCTGTAAACTGAAGCCAACTCCCTGCTATAGAGATGGTGCACTCCCGATCCCTGCGGGGTAACGCCTTCGCTGCCAACAGAAAGGGACAACTGTTTGTATAGTAAAATTGCATTCATTCACCATAAAAAAACCCCATGCCGTCAGGCTGCCCAAGTGTTAAGATTGTTATTAAGTTCTTTGACAAATTATTTCAACATCGTTTGAGACCCTAATTGACAATAAATGTATTTACCACCTTGCAGGCCTCTGAGAGTCTCAGGGCATTATTTGAATTAAGCCACATATTCCCACTCCCAAGATAGCTATTACTGTTGTGGACATATTACAGAAAGTGGATGCTGAGGCAGGGAAATAAATGACTAATCCAAGATCATATAGAAATTCTGCGACAGTGACAAAGAGACAGCAGGTCTTGATTCATAGTCCAATGATAGCTTGTGTAGCATGAAATCATCGAAGAGCAAGTTTAAAGACACATTCTCCAAAATTTCGTTTACCACCATATATCATTTCCAGTTGTTTTTGTCAAACAAATAACAAAAAAGTACTGTTACTGGGATTTTAAAGCATACTTATTACATACAGGTTTGCTAGCATTGAAATAGACAGTTTATTCCTCGATAGCAGACCCCCAGGAAAAATACACAGAGGACAAAAGTGCAGTTCCGGGAGCAACAAAAGCATAATCCCACACTTAGGGCTTTGGGAAAGTTTTGCGCAACATAAACAGTTTGAAAACAAACGTGTTCAGGCCAGATTCCCTCACTTGTTAAATACACAGTCAAGCAAGCAATGTCATCAACAGCAATACCGTGCTTGCATCAGAGAGCAGAATTCAGAGTTTGGAAATGGGAAAAGTCCGACGAGCAGAGAAGTCTGCATGTATTCCCCCCCTCCCTCTGAAAGCCCCTTGTGCTTACATAGGCCTTTCATCAATAGGCAACTTTCTTTTAAAAGGTAATCTGATTTTCCTGTACATCTCAGCGTGCGTTGATTTAAAGTACTTTCTTGAATGAATAAAGTCAAAGGGTTTTTCTTCTGTTTCCTAACGGCATCTCTTTTTGTTGTCGTAGGAACAACAGCGCTTTATTTATTTCTTCTGATGCATCCTTCCATTATCAGTAATCTCCCTAGTCCAAAAACTTTTGAAGAAGTTCAGTTCTTCAACGGAAACAACTACCACAAGGGAATTGACTGGTAAGAATAACAAAAAAGAAGTGTTCGTTATTAATACATGGTAAATCGCAATGGAACAATTACAGAAGCATGTATGACATTGACATAATTACTGGATGAATTTGTTATGCTTGGCATTGTCAGACAGAAAAAGAAACTAATTTGTAATGATGGGACATTTAATCAAGTCCTTAATTTTGTTTAGATATCACAGTAACAATTTTCGTATTTTTTACACAAATGAATACAATAGCCAGCTCAGTCATGATGTCTGTCTTCGTGCTGAATAGCATCTCTGTCTTTTCATAACTGTATCTATACTGAATTTTACTCTTTTTCTTCAAAAGCGGCTTTTCGTGAAGTAAGATTCGATTCTTCTCTTCATGAGAAAAAGCCCCCACTACAAAACATTTCAGCTGGTATTCCTATCACAATTTTAAATATTGCTTTTACTATTTTTGCTTAAGAAAAGCATTTTTGTAAGGCTTTCGTTTCCACAGGGAACAGCAGTTCTCATCCTCGTGTGAAAACTGAAATATAAGACAAATATCACACTACACAGAAACAGGTTAATCTTGAGCGGTTTTCCTTGCCCGCGTATGGCATGGAGAGCGTGCAGAGCAAATGAGGCTGACCGATAAAAGCAGGCTGTCCCCGCAACTACGAAAGCAGGCTGTCCCCGCAACTACGAGACCAGCTTCTCGGCTCAAGGTGTCACGAAAAATAAAGGGAAAGAAATGCTTGGCGTTTATTTTTCCATACTTTTCCTAACGGCATCTCTTTTTGTTGTCGTAGGAACAACAGCGCTTTATTTATTTCTTCTGATGCATCCTTCCATTATCAGTAATCTCCCTAGTCCAAAAACTTTTGAAGAAGTTCAGTTCTTCAACGGAAACAACTACCACAAGGGAATTGACTGGTAAGAATAACAAAAAAGAAGTGTTCGTTATTAATACATGGTAAATCGCAATGGAACAATTACAGAAGCATGTATGACATTGACATAATTACTGGATGAATTTGTTATGCTTGGCATTGTCAGACAGAAAAAGAAACTAATTTGTAATGATGGGACATTTAATCAAGTCCTTAATTTTGTTTAGATATCACAGTAACAATTTTCGTATTTTTTACACAAATGAATACAATAGCCAGCTCAGTCATGATGTCTGTCTTCGTGCTGAATAGCATCTCTGTCTTTTCATAACTGTATCTATACTGAATTTTACTCTTTTTCTTCAAAAGCGGCTTTTCGTGAAGTAAGATTCGATTCTTCTCTTCATGAGAAAAAGCCCCCACTACAAAACATTTCAGCTGGTATTCCTATCACAATTTTAAATATTGCTTTTACTATTTTTGCTTAAGAAAAGCATTTTTGTAAGGCTTTCGTTTCCACAGGGAACAGCAGTTCTCATCCTCGTGTGAAAACTGAAATATAAGACAAATATCACACTACACAGAAACAGGTTAATCTTGAGCGGTTTTCCTTGCCCGCGTATGGCATGGAGAGCGTGCAGAGCAAATGAGGCTGACCGATAAAAGCAGGCTGTCCCCGCAACTACGAGACCAGCTTCTCGGCTCAAGGTGTCACGAAAAATAAAGGGAAAGAAATGCTTGGTGTTTATTTTTCCATACTGCATAAAGAGATCACCCACGGCTATCGCAGAGGACATGGTGCAATAGACTCAGAGAAGAAGGAGCGGTGATACCGGGGGGGTCTCTCCTCTGCAGCCCTTTGCACAACGTACAGAGGAAGAGGCTGGCCTCTCGGAGACCTCTTCTGCCACGCTGCACCGAAATTGGCTTGCAGGTTCCAAAGTCAGTAGGGTCCTGTGTGCAGGGTGAGGCCCCGCACACTTCGTTTCCATGGAAAGAACACAAAAAACAGTTAGTCCCACCAAAATTGGAAGTTCCTGGAGTACTCAGCAAAACTAAAGGGACCGAAAATTACCTCCAAAACAATTTCACCTTTTTGCTTCATTTAAATTCTTCACCCTTTCAGCTGAACCTTCTGGTTGACTTACTTTTACTTCCAATCCATTTTAAGTGGAAAAGACTATTCAAAGCCAAAATTCAAATCTTGCATTCTGAAAACGTCTAAAAGAAAAGATTTGTCGGTTCCAAAATTAAATATTTCAACAATGTTAAAATTAAATGGTTGACATTTTGAAGCTTTTCCCATTTTTTTCTGCAGCTAGAACTGAACTCACTCCAAACTGGTGAAAGATATCCCTTTGACATTGAATTTATTAGCAAAAATCCCATCCATCAAAGGAAAAACCTAATTACCTGATTTCACGGAGGCTTTAGCTATTACCAGCACCATGTAAGAGCCAAGGTGTGTTCCCCTTATTCCAGTTCTGGAGTGAGCTGAGAAATTCAATTTTGCTTCTTGAGAATTATGTCTGAAAATTCACCTTTTCACCTACCATGAAATGGGAAGCACAGGGATACGACCCTTTTGTGATACCGCTAATTCTAACAAGTTTCTTCACCTCCCAGGTACATGGATTTCTTCCCCTCTCCTTCCAACATCACCACCGACCTCCTCTTTGAGAAAAGTGCCAACTATTTCCATTCTGAGGAAGCCCCTAAGCGAGCTGCTTCCCTCATCCCCAAGGCCAAGATCATCACCATCCTCATCGACCCATCCGATCGGGCGTATTCCTGGTACCAGGTACGGACCTTGCCTTCGAGAAACGGACAGTGAAATCAATGGGAGGGGATGATGGCCAACATCAGTGGGAATTTGTGTCCTTGGGCAAGAATGGGATTTATTGCAAAGCATTTGCATTGTGTAAAAGTGGAAAGATGCTGAATGCCAGCTTTTGCAGTTGGCACCTGTGACACCAGTGTCATAAATGATGAAACTTCTCAGCACAGAGCTGCCATCAGCTGTAAACAAACAGTTTAATCTCAATTACAGCTGACACTGCATAGAGGAAAAGCAGTGCTCCTCGCCCAGGGAGATACACGGGGGAAAATGAGCACGGCCTAGCTAGAAAATCAGAGCTCTTGATGCTGAGAATCTGGTACCTCATCCCATCCTCCAGCGTGTAAGCTGAGCAATATGTGGTGGCGTACAAATATACGCAGTGTCTTCTAAAGTTTCCAAGGAGTTAAAAAGAGCTGTGTCTGGAGAGTTGGGTTTTTTCTCTCTCCTTGGAAACAAAAGAAAGCCTGTTGTTTTTCCGAGGAAACTCTAGGATGCTCTTTCTTGCCTTTTACTGAGCAACACCTTTCCATAACAAAGTCTGAACTATTTAAAAAAACTCTTTTTAAAGAGATGTTTAAGCATGCATGTAAGATATGGTGTAGTCATACAGATAAAGGAAATACTAAAAGCAGTGTTAAAACAGACGCAAATTAATAATGTTGCAATAAGCATAAGATACACCATTTCTGATACTGTTATTATGAGTTCTGCAAGGAATAAAACATGGCCTAGGGCTGCATTTTGCACCCTTTTTAATATCTCATTTGCACCTTTACAACTGCCGATGCGAGATGCAAAGCAGTAAAAAAAATTGTGCCTACTTTGGCAGAATTTGGCTCCTCAGCTCCCCTCCCGCCTGTCCCAGGAGGGCCCTTGACTGAATGGTGGCCCCATCCTGCTTCCTTGCCCTCCCCCCGGCTCCTAGCCGGCAGAAGCGGCACTGGTGGGGAGCCGAGGGGCTGTTGCAGGCTGCAGCCGGGCTGGCCGTGCCAGCACAGCCCTCCTGACAGCTTTCGGGAGGCTTACGGCTTAATCTTCAGCATCCTTGTGATATGTGTCTAAATATCTCCCGTTAGCATCAGCGATCCCACGAGGACCCTGCTGCCCTGAAATTCAATTTTTATGAAGTCATTACGTCCAGCCACTGGGCGCCCTCGGAGATAAGGACTCTCCAGAAGAGATGCCTGACACCCGGATGGTACGCTGTCCATATCGAAAGATGGTTAACTCATTACCCTGCTTCACAGGTAATTTCCAACCTGTTGTTTCACCAAGCTCATTGACTCTTGGAAAGTCCCAAAATGAGTATGGCCTCATGATTAGAGGTGATGAGACCCTTCCCACTGGAACTCTTAGGAAATGCAGATTTGGCAAGATCCGGATATTTGGCAGAAGTGTGTTGATTTTTCTGTCTTCTGATGGAAAAGATGCAACAGGAAAATGTTAGGAACTGTGGCCACATGGGTTTGATGGGGGACTTTGGGGTTTCCTTCCAGGATCAGCCAAGGTTGTCAAGGCTTCTGGGTCCCAAGAAACAAGCAGCTGCAGCATGAGACATTGTGGGAAGGTTTGACAAATTCATTTAGAAAATGCCAGGGCTTTTTCTAAAAAGAAATTTCGTTCCGCTTCCCACTCACTCTCTTTCATAGAAAAATTCACATTTGTTTGATCCTGATATGGAATTAGCCTTTCTCAGTGTTAGAGCAGAAATTCCTTCTTTTGCCCCATCTTCCTTCAGGTGTTTTATTGAATTGTCTTTCATAATCTTTCCCATGAAAAATTTACGTAAACACGTAGACCTAAAGAATATTCCCATTACTAAAAAATTTGTTTACAGAGATAAACCTAAAGCAAACATTTTAGTACTACAAAATATATGCATGGGCACTCTTTACCCGTGGACGTGGTCCATAGCTCAGTTCATATGTCTACCTACTGTAAGAAAAAGCTGTAAAAGGGTATTTAATGAGCAAGCATGATGAACAAGTATCTACAGAGATTGCCGTACGTGGGACAGAATTTTGCTGAAAGGAGGTAGAACTGAGTGTTGCCTATTTAGTCAGGGACCTGGAAAAACAAAAAGAAATAGAAGGGCTGTCTTTTTGCATCCTCACTTTTCTTTTTATACAGTCCCAGCTGTACTGCAAAGAGGAGAAGCAGGTCAATCCCATTTCCAGGAGAAAGGAGAAAGTCTTAGTTAGTCATTTACTTTCTTCTTTCATCTCTGACCCTTCTACTCTTTCATAAATGGGGAAGGAGTGCTGCCTAAAGCAGCTGAGCTTACAGCAAGGGCCGTCCCCAGGCAGTATTGCCCTAGGAGCAAACAGTGCGCGTCTTCTCATCGGCCACCACATCCCAACTTGTCCCTCCGAAGGAGAAGGGGCTGTCCCGGCAAATTGGGAGCACGAAAAGGGTGCCAGACATCCCGTGCCCTGTTACCTGTGCTCCTTCTCTGCCCTTACCCAGGGCTGCTGCCCCCTCTCATGACGATTTCTCTCCTTCTCCTGCCGTAGCGAAGAGTGCAGCCCTCTTACTAAACATTCAGGGGCACATTGACATATTTCTTGTAAAACCGGTAACCACTCATGTTTCGTAGTTACAGTGATTAATTTTACAAGATATACAACAAAATGCACTCATTCTTAATCGGGAGCACACAGAGAGTGCACTCACGGTGCTTATTAATGGGCACTCAGTAATGTGCATTCATTCGGCCTGTGCACTCAAAAACGTAATAATTCATAATAAGCCTTCACAAAAAATATAAAACGCGTCTGCCCAGAATAGTTATTAGTAATACTGCTTGGTACTCCAGTAGACTTTTGAAACATTGTCTTAACATTTGCTTGTGGAGGTCAATGTACCTTTACATCACATCAATCTTTAATTAAAAACAAAACAAAAAAACAAAAAAAAACCTCTTTGCCTACAATTTTGCAAGCCTATATGGTTGATAAGCTGGTGGTAGGTTTCAAATAAATTGCCACAATATCACTTTTGAACACGTAGTTGTACAATTTTTTGAACATTTAATTCTAAGGTACAGATGTTATTAGCACTGTACAAAGTCACATGCTAATTTAAATCTGTGTTGTCACAGAAGGGTAATAATGTCATTCTTTCGTTAACCTTAGTCGTGTTTCTAAATAGCTAGCATATTTACCCCTACAGTTGCTTATTATCGATGGACAGCAGCTAAGAAGTGACCCAGCTACTGTGATGGATGAAGTGCAGAAGTTTCTTGGAGTTTCTCCTCATTATAATTACTCTGAAGCTCTAACGTGAGTCTGTTCCTTTATTATCTGCCCTGTGGGATCACGGTGTACATCCCATCCTACATAGATCACTTGATCGTTCATTACAAACAAACAGACAAAAACCACATTACAACAATGATAATTTTGCAAAGCTTAGGATTTTCTTAAAGTCATGTTTAACACCCATCCAGTTTTCCCTTAACTTGCATACATATAATACCTTACAGAATTTAATTGCATGATTGCATACATTTCCACATGCAAACTCTACTTTGCACAACATACGGAACAAATGACTGCTCAGTATTTTGTATTAGACGCAGAACAAAGGCCCAGATTCATGTAAAAAATGTCTGCTAAGTTTGAGTGTTTGATCGGAGATGCCCAGGACTTGTTTTCTCAGGGTACCTAGTTTTGCTTTCATCGCTGCACTGCTTAAAATATACTTTCAGTTGATGAGAGTTGTGTGTGTGAGAGCTCAGCACACATTTGCGCATCAGACTGTTGAGCCTTATGACAGTCTCTAGAAGCTGAAGACCATGTAGTGTCAGGTGTGAAAAGTTTGGCTTAAACATTTTTATCACATTCTTATAGGAGTCTGATGACAGAGATTGGGTTAGAGGCACTCAGTATGATAAGATTAATCTGGTCACATGGCTTCTTTGATTGTTTGCTTTTAATGCGGACCAAATATATCATTCCCTAATCCCATCTTTGTATCTGGTCGAGCCAATTCTGCCAACCTTTTACCTGGTAGTAGCCAGACACATGGCACAGAAGAATATAGTCTGTACACTTAAAGTCTGGTAAAATTATAAGCTACTAATAGTAGATCCCTAACCTGGGAGTGCCGGGCTCAAGCGCAGCACCTGGAGCATGGGGAGAAGCTCATATTTGCCTATGAAGCACAAAAGCCTCAGACTGAGCAGCCGGACTGTTGGTGGGCTGGGGTGTCAGTGCCAAAACTGCAGGTGCTCTGCAGAAGCCCAAGTCAAGGTCCCCTGACCTTAGGGAAAGCCCTCCCACAGCCTTTGGTTCAGATCTAGCAAAGGCGGCTGTGATGAGCCCGGATCACATTTCTCACCCTCGCTGCCCGGAGGGTGAGGCTTTCCCCATGAAAGGGGATTAACGGCCTGTGTGGCACTCTCTCTTCAACATTTCTCACTTCCCCGCAGGAAGGCAGAGTCTCTGCAGGGGCGGGAGTGGGCTGGATTTCTCTCTCCCCTCTTAGTCCGGCAGAAAATTGTAAGAAGCTTTTGCACTGAGCCTCTCGGCGTGAGGAGCATCATCTCATTACAGCCAGAAGCACTGGGCTGGGAGAGCCCTGGGACATCCATGGGCTGAGAAGCCTGGCACTGCGGTGGAGGTTTTTCCAAGTCAGTGTGCAAGCAGAAAGCACGAGCCTGCACGTGGGGTGGGAAGTAGAAAAGCCTGTACCTTACCTTCCCTGCAGGCTGGTACCAGGAAAACTGTGGGAAAACGAGACCACGGACTTTCCACCTACCCCACACTGCCTCCTCTCTGCTTATGATTATTGTTTAATGTCTTCTCCGCTGGGAGGGTTATGGTTATTTGTATAGTAGGTATGAAGTGAGAGTTGAGTGCTTGTCGTTCTTTGGGTCTTAAGAATGTTGCTCTGCCAAAATCTTTTTCTAGAGGAAAAATTTTGGATTTCAGAATGCAATTTTTTAAGTCATTGGTTTCCGAAGCAGATGAAATAGAGGAGGAGTTTGAACACACAGCTGAACTACTGATGTTTGAACAACTGCTGCTGCACATCTGCGGTGCCTTCTGCTAGGTTTTTAAAAATACACACCCACATACATATATCTTCCTTTCTGTAACTAAATTAAAGTTAGTGGAGTCACACACCAGGAAAAAATTTGGCCTCTCATACTTGTTTGGACAGGAAGAAAAGATTGTAAACAGATCTATAAAATTATGCAATCACTGTTTAGAGGCATCAAGAATGCAAATGTGCTGTGGAAGCACACACTTCTGTACGGATTTAGGATGGAAGAGAAAAATGCGTTAAACAATGAAGTTGCTTTATGGTAGGACTGCCAAAGTAAAAAGATTGCATAGGATCGTTCCTAGTCATTATTGCCTAATACCTGTATGCCACACATTTTTAAAGTTGTCACAAAGCAGCCTAAGGACCCAGTCCTGCAAACACTAGTGAGCAACAAGTTCATCACCCTGAGTAATTACATGAACGTCCTATAGGAGAGTAAAATCAATCCAGGCAGAAGGAAGGTACTAATCAGAGCCATGGAAAGAGAGCAGAGGGGAGACAGGCAGGGCTCGGGCATCTGGAGAGCAGTGCACATCATGCCGGGTCAGTAAGAGCCACAGCTGAGACAGGCAACTAGGTCGTCGCTTCTTACACACGCTGCTAAAGAGGACCTAGACTCAGACTAGATATAAGGAAGAAATTGTTTACGCTGAGGGTGGTGAAGCACTGGCACAGGTTGCCCAGGGAGGTGGTGGGTGCCCCATCCCTGGAAACATTCCAGGTCAGGCTGGACGGGGCTCTGAGCAACCTGATCTAGTTGAAGGTGTCCCTGCCCACAGCAGGGGGGTTGGACTAGATGGCCTTGAGAGGTCCCTTCCAACCCAAACTATTCTATGATTCTATGACCTGCACTTTTTATTAGAGTAGTGAAAACAAAGGGAGAAAATCAACTAATGTTGCAAGGCTTTTACACATAATGCCAACAACAGAAAGACATTGGGATCCCCACACAAAGTGCTAGGAGAGGGAAACGAGTCAGTGGTCTTCATGAAGTTCCCACTACGGCACTGAAGAGATGTTTCCCACCTCTCCCCCACCCACTTGTTTTCACAAGGAGTGACCAAGGGCTTAAATTTTTTAAGTATCTGAACTTAATGAACAGAAACCTAGGACACATGGGACTAAAGTTACAAAAGACCTTTCCTTTTAATCACAGGATGGCCCTACCGAAGCTCCACTGAGTGCTAGGAAGATATATTTCATGCCCGACATCCTCAGATGACTCACACTCCGGGGTAGCGTGGGCCAGTGGTTCCCTTCTTCCTTTGTTTTTTTCATCAGGCAGCAAAGGAGGGAGGCAGGACAGAGCTTGGCTTTGGCAAAGGGCAGCCAAAATGCCCCTTCCTCCAACCCGGCTCATTATGCCACGCTCTGCCCACAGAGGCAGCTCCACATCCAGCCTCGCAGGGGAGATTTCCCTCGTTTTCCCTCGTGTGAACAACAGGAGGGAAAGGAAAAGACAGGATGAGGGGAGTGTGCTTAAGTAAATGTTTTCTCTCGGAGTGCCGCTACATTCTGTCAGAGAATAAGAGAAAGATCCTTATGGTGGCATTGCTCAGCCCTGCCCTCGCAAGAACCCTCCCCGCCTCTAGCATCGGGTACTGACTTCCCGAGAGGTGCGGTGGACGTACGGGTGTCCAGGTTCAACCCTGCATCTCCCACAGGCTTACTCTGCAAGAGAAGAAAAGATAACCAGGCCTGGAAGAAAGGTTTTTGCTGACGGCTTTAAAAAGCTCACTTGTAACTTTAGCCTTAAGGCTATCACTAATTTTAAATAAATACTTCCATTGTGCCCAATTATGTTTTCAGGAGTCCTGAGAGTTTTGTAATACCTGAACGCAATGGGATGAATTCAGCCCAAGCTGTCTTACCGTCTTTTCCCCTACCCAAATTTGCACACTCTCTTAATAATGTTCAGTATGCTCCTTCTGAGGCAGAAATATTGTTTGGGGCATAGTTTTGCAGTTTTCCTTTTACCCAGCACACTATATTGCTGCTTCTCTTGGGAAATTAGTGCAAGCCAGCTAAAGTACTTCACCATGCAATGAGCAGATGGAAAAGGCCAAAGTAGAAATGAATCTATCATCGATATATCCCTTTAATCAATGATTTATTTATTTTTAATTGACACAGCTACTGAGACAATTTAGAAAACAAGGGTCAGGCCTGCAATAATAGGCTGGGCAAGAAAAAAAACGTGAAGAAGGTTCACCCTTCTCCAGAAATCAGTTCACTTACGTACAGCAGCAAATTGCAGGTGCACCCGTGTTGTATGGAGAGACCCAGGGCAAAAAGGTAGTCTGTAACTAATTAACTCCATGTTCCAGCCAATTATACTTCATCCTTTCCAAACATCTGCTGAACAGCAGAAATGCGAACCTTTTCAATGTTTTATGCATGCTGCAAGTCCCATAGCAATAAATTCAAAACTTAACGCTGCGTGTTGTTCATTCCTTGGCGAGTACGTGTTTTAAAGCCTTAATCTAAAATTCCTATATCTTTGAATTTTAGACATCAAAATCAAATTGCGTATTTCAGATAAGACTACTAAGACAGTGTTTATGCTGTAATGCCATCTTTGGAATGAAAATGATATTTAGATCTAATGATATGGAACAACCAAATTCTCAGGTGCAGTTAAATTATCAACAACCAACCAGCAGTTCTTTCAGTAGACCTGAACGCTGCTTATTTCACTCGAAAATCAACATAAAACATTTCAGTATTATATTTCTCATCGTTTCGCAGTCACGCAACAATCACACACTTTGCTGTATAGACAGACTTCGGGATTGAGTCTGTGCCTGTTGAAGTCAGCAAATAGATCCGCTTGCCCTTTTTAACCCCTCTCACCTGGACAGTGCTGACCTACAATAGCATCGGCTCCAGCTGGCCATATGGAGAGCTTTCCTCGAGCACAGCTGATCGTGTCCTTGAGAATATAGCGCATCTAATTCCAGGAAAAGAGCCGATCACTAATTTTTTCCACAAAACGTTCTTTGTTCAAGTGTCGATTGATCAAAACATTAGCATCCCACAGGGATACACGGAGCAGTTTGACATGAATAAAATCTCTGACCAAAACCAGACAATAAAATATGAGTCACAGTCTGGAGTGGAGCCGTGTAAGATCCTTGAGACCGAGGCTCAGGACCTTGACTGGCATCCTATAGATCAACGCCTAAAACGTGTACCCTATATGCTGGACAAGTAGAATAAAAAATTAGCTAGTGTAGGTAAAGCAAAGTGTGAAAAACTTCTTGCCTTGAGCCACTCCCAAGGCAAATTTGTGGAACAAATAAAATCCCAGAGAGGATTTCACAAGAGAGGAAAACCGTTTCCCACTCTGTCCTCAGTATTTCAGTCATCTAGAGAGATGTGCGCAGCAATAATTGTTGTCTTAGCTGGGAGATTCTTCTGTAGCGAGGTCTTTCAAAAAATATAATCCTCTATAGGTTTGACCCTCAGAAAGGCTTTTGGTGCCAGTTATTGGAAGGAGGGAAAACAAAGTGCCTGGGAAAAAGCAAAGGTCGAAAATACCCGCCAATGGACCAAGAGGTAAGGGCTGTCCAGAGATTTAAGTTAACGTTTTTTAATATTGACACTGTGTTTGACTCCTAAAATAAACACACTGATTTCTTTTTTTTTTTTTTATTTTCACTGGCTTGATATTTTTAAAAATCAGAAACTTTTAATGAACTTTGAATGACAGGAGATTAATTGCCCCCTCTTAAGAGCCCCTCTCTGGGAGCAGTGCATATCTCCCGGGTGGGAGCACCTGCTGAAATCTGCCGTCGGGTGGGTTTCCATCTTTGACTGTTGTTGTTTGGTTTTTTTTCACCCTTCTCAGTCTCGAGCGTTTCTGTCGAGCTACTACAGAGACCACAACGTGGAGTTGTCCAAGCTGCTGCACAGGCTGGGGCAGCCCCTGCCCTCCTGGCTGAGACAGGAGCTGCAGAAGGTCAGATAGCACGCAAGGGCGGGGGACCCAAATAAGGACGATTTCCTTCACCGTCAAACCCCTCGCTTCTCCGACTCACTTGTGATCATCAGTAGAGGACCTCATGAATAACGCTCTTCCTATTAAAAAAAAAAGGAAAAAAAAAAAAGACAGAAAAGAATAAAAAAAACAATCCCAACAACTGTTTATATGCACGTGCTGACAGTTATTAGCATCGACCCCTTTTGTCAGCTTCCAGGAAATAATACGGAGCTACGTGGCATTACTCTTTATCCAGACCGGGATTCGTGCATAGCCTAGTTCCTCTGTTCACCAGGAAGTACCAGAAACTGTGTGTAGGACGGATTGACTTCAGTGTAGATGGCAAATTGCAGTCTGTCAGGACACGAGCAAAGGATGGGAACATCTCTCGCTGGACTGTGAGGTTGGTCATCCCCTGAGGTTTTTCCACGTTTGTTTTCGCTGTTTTTTCCCCCAACCCTGCAAGTTTTCCTATCATTTTACAGAGAGACATTCAGCACTTTGCAGTCGGGATCCCTAATGGTTATGATATATGTAGTATTAATGCACCACCATTGCTCTCTCCACAGAAAGAGGTGGGCTAAATTCTCACCTAACCTGCTTCCCTGGGATTCCTGTAATAACTGATGACAGTCTGTGCTCTTTCTTCTGTTGTTTTGCTTTGTTTTCCCTTCACAACAAGATCTATCCTGATTTACGGGAGTCGTGAGGGTTGTTGAGGTGCAAGGCAGCGAGGTGGCCCTCCTCCCAGATCTCAGTGAAATCTATTGCCACCCTGATAAGGTTTTTCATCGCATCTGTTGGGTTCCTACAGCAGCTGTGACAGCTCTGAGATGTGAAATCATATCAAAGATTTTGTCATGCCATAGGACTCCTTAAAACACTATCAAAACCTTTTTAAATTTAAGCAGGCCATGCAAGCAGTGTACTGACAATAACCTAGTATCGACAATTTTGTTTCTATCTGGAAAGCAATGTTTTTCCTCTGAATCCTTCAAAGTAAGAGATTGGGTTAGTCATTTAGGGTCTCAGTCTGCAAGCTATTACAGGAAAAAAAAAACCAAACTTTAATGGCCAAAGGTATTTGTTAAGGTTTTGGAAAAAAACTACAGTCTGTTGAAGAATAAACTCTTTCTATAGACTTTAATGGAGTTGAAAGGACAAGCGTCTCCACTATATATCACATTTGCATACATGATGCATATATTTTTATGCCTGCATATCTACCTACTATATATCTAGATCAGACATACACTTAGTTTTAAATATCTGCATTTTGTGCCCATAGGTAAATGAAAGGGTGGTTCACCAAAAATATGATATTATGAACTGTGCTTTCTTCTCAGATCTGTGTGGGCAAGGTCAACAGGCCTGGGCAGAAACTCGCTGGGAAATTTAAGCTGAGGGAACAAATATCATTTAGGCATTTTAGCCTTGTAACAGGTTTTCTCAAGAAAACAAAAGCTGGCAAAGCTTTGCCACATGTTCCTTATGCAGCACAAAACGGAGTAGGTTTTAGTTTTCAAACTTCCCCACCTTAGTTCCTAGGCACAAGCCATTTCAGGTGCTGCAGAGGCTTTGTGCTTTCCCCTCCCCATGAATTTGATCCTTACCTCCTAGCTCAGGAGACGGAACTGGACGTTGGGGTTGCACCATGAATTCAGACTAGTGAGAGCCAGCCTCAGGGAGCACAAATCAGTACACATCATGGACTGCGGTATTCAAGAGTACTTAAATGAATTAATTTAGGCTTCAAACCAGTTGATGCATGTAGATATCTTTCTTAGCATTTCCAAACTCCTAAATCATGAGCCTGTCCGCCAAGGTCATGACACTAGCTTATTTTGGATTGACTAGTCCAGTGCTTCCCAGAGCTATCCTGGTGCCACCCGTCCTGCTCCCAGCTCGGCAGCGGCGGCACTTGCTGGTGAGTGTCCTCTGGCACCACCTGCCTGCCACAGTGTTTCCTCTCACCTGGCCTCCATCACTTTCCTCCACCGCTGCCCATCTGAACATGCCCGGCTGCTTCTTCCCTCCACACCGTTCCAGACCTTCTTCTCAGCCCCAGCACTGCCCTGGTCCCGGTCCCTCATCCACGTGAGGAGCCGGCACTGCCCTCCTTGGTCCCACACACACAGCCCACAGGGTTGCACAGAGGAGAGGCTGAGGTGCAACCAGCACCAAGTCCCGGCATGGCCCCTTGTCCTCCTGCTCTCCACCTCAGCCCTTGCTTCTCCTGCGGGAGGACCCACAGCAGGGGTGGGAAGAGGACAAGGACAGGTACCCCCTGCCCAGCGGCTGCTGGCTGCCGCAGGAGCATAGCATTGCCCAACCCCACCAGTGCCGCACTAGCCTACTCACGCAAGGATGTACACGAACATACAGGAAAGCCCGAAAGACAAACGTTGCCCAGTCTCATGTTTGCTTTTAAATATTGAAATGGGATTCATCTCACACAAGCGAAACATCTACTTTATTTTATAGGTGATGAAGGGAAATAGAACTTCTAGGACACCATTCATCTCATGACAAAGCAGACTTCTTAAATGAGTGAGATTAATCTTGCCTCTTCCTCTCTATTGATTGTAAAAGGACAATAGACAACTCGTTCAGAGGAAGAGCTCAGCTGTATAGGTCTAAAATTAGGTGAACTGAAAAGGAGATGGTATTTTATCTCACAGCTATAGTTGTTGAAGTTGAGAGGGAGCTGGGAGGGTCTGAGGGAAGGTTTTGATTTTGTTTTGTTTTCCTAAAGTAATTTTTCTAGTACCTATATTTCGACCAGGAGGACTCTTCAAAATGAGCTAGGGCAAACTAAATGCCAAATAAAAGGAACCTTACGTGGGGTTTTTTGGCTTTTTTTTTTTTGGGGGGGGGGGAGTCAGTTACATACTTTGTTGCAAATTCACAGTCTTTTAACTTTTAGCACTGATAATACCAAAGATGACAAGTCTGATGAGAGTTTTGGATAACTAAGGCTTGGTCAGAGAAGAATATCTTAATCAACCATCTGATAAAATTTTAGCTGTTAAAATGCATTAGAATTGGCTCATCATTAATTAAAAGATGACTTCATAACTTCTTGATTAAAAGCTAAATAAACATGAAATTGGTTTCAGGAGTTTTTCAAGGAAATGAAACAAATACTGTAAAATCCGGAAAATTATTTCTTGTTCATAGCTTTCCATTTAGAAAAAAAAAGAATCAAGTCCTTCCAACTCTCAGCTCTGTAATAGCATCATGTCCTTAAAACACACTGGATATTTTTATACCTCATTGTTATTTTTTAAGTTTGAATGGGCATCACATTTCCGAGAGATCTCGTGTTCCATTGAAAACTGACATTTGAATTGACTTCATTATGTGTCATATAAAGATGAAATAACAGTATTTCAAAGTTTCATTCCTTCCACTTGTAATAGGACCCATCAACACAGAATTTCTCCGGACCACTGTATTATAGAGGAGCCTTTGTGAACTAGCTGTAAATGATCTCGATTTCTTTTATGCCTTTCATCACTGACCACGTAATTGTTGGGATTCTTAAAGACCAGCAAAACAAATTTAATAAAAATGAAACATTTATTCATGGCAAGGGGGCTGTAGCCGGGAAAGATAATGCTGGCCCTTCTTTCTTATTCATAAGCTACAGGATTCATCTCCACAATACCTCCATGTGGGGCAGGCTGTAAATCAATAAGAGTTTTACATAGTAGAGGGCTGCAGCTGCAGTTTGCTCCCATTCCCCTGGAAATACGGATTCCTGCAGAGGTTTGACGGAGCCTTGCCGCACTGAGGACCTGACCTACTGCCCGTGGAGACCAGTGAGAGTCTTCCTATTAGTTCCAGCAGACCCCGGTTGGCCCCCAAGAGCCGGTTCCATAAGGCACAATCTGTGTGGTTCAAGCATCACGTAGCCCTATCGCCGTTGGAAATCCATCGCTAGTTTGATTTCTATTACCGAGCAGCGATTGATTCCCCCCCATCTCTCTCGGCTGGTGCTCTACCATGGTTGGAGCTACAAGCCGTCCCCCACCCCCAGCACCCCGCGGGGCTGCACCACTTCTGGTCTCGCTGTACCAGGCAGGTCCCTCTCTGCTCCATCCTCCCGCCTCGCCGGCTGCAAGAACTAGAAAGCCCTACGGGCCAGACGCAAGCGTCAGGGTCTATGGCAGCATATTTGATGATTAAAGCAGGACTTTGGCCCTCAGAAAACCGAGCTTGTATAATTGAGGTTGTCTTTGAGCGAGAAGCAATCAGAACGGAATCCAAAACCTTCTAAATTATGCATTGACCTCTCAAGGTCTAAAGTAAAGTTGCCGGATTAACTGCTCATAGATGTTTTCTAATAAAACAAATTTTCTCTCTTGATAAGGAACCAGACTGTGTCCCCAAAACAAATTAAGATGGCGGAATTAGAAATTCTTGGGGGAGGAAAATGTTGCGTAATGAAAGCGCTGATGGGTCCATACTCTCTGATGTGATAATAAGGCAGCAGGGACATGCCCTGAATACAAAAGCAGAAGCTGAATACTTTCTCCTCTTCCTTCCCCTTCCTTCTTTTCCTTCCCATGCGTGTTAAATTTTGAGCCAGCGGGGTGCATCTGAAAAGCATGCGACGGGCAGAGCCCGTGAGACGGGGATCATTATTCATCTCCAGAACGATCGTCCGAGAATAAATTGGGTGCAAGGTGCTCATTTCCCCTGAGCTGGGCCACCTTAAAAGTTAGACATCAAGTCCAAACTAGTCATTTAGTTTCCATCAGTAGCAAATTATGTTTATAATGGGTTTAAAATTGATGTTTATAATAGGTGTGTGAGCATGTGACAGCTGTGTAAAACAGGTACAACATAGGTATATAAATCAGCAGAGACTAAGTGTCTAATTTTATTGTAGTTAAGTAAGATTAAGTTCGCCGCTGGTGTCAGGAGAAGCTCTCTTTCACATGCAATTTAGCTTTGCCATTTTAGCTCTCGGATTGCAGTGC